TGTTGTTTTAGATGTAAGAGCATGTCAAGTTAGGTACTTACATAAATTGTACATTATTTTTTCTTATGCAATATCTTTTTGATGGTTTATGTGGTTCAAACATATTTTTTCCTTAACAAAAAGACATAGTCTAATAAAATTATTAAACCTCGAAGATGACAGATTAAAAACTCCTCCGGGCCTCCAGGCAAAAAGACATCTTAGAAGGGCACAGCAATCAAACTGGCATAAGATTCTTCCAAAGCAACTCACAAAACAAAAGGAACAATGGAATAGACTTTAAACAAGCCAATTTAGAAAAGTGTGGATTAAGAATGTAAACCCACCAGTGCTATCTTGTAAGCACTCCATCTACAGAAGGCCTTAAACACAAACACACACAGAGCATGGCACATTCATGAGCTCTTTCTGTGAAATTTACAAAAGCAAGATCTGTCCAAGAAAGGAGTAACTGGGAAAATTTCTGCAAAAGCCAAGCCAAATCAGACCAAGGAGGAGGAGGAGGAGGAGGAGGAGGAGGAGGAACAGATGACAGTAATCCAACAAAACTGCAGATCTGAGTAAAATAAAGCTGCAAGACAAAGAAACAAATGCTATGTGCCCAGAGAAAATAGAAATTATATAAGTAAAATCAGAAAATGAAATACACTCACTGATTATAGTATAGGCAATATAAAGAATATCGAAACATATCAACATCAAAACATATTGAATATGTTAGAAAACAGTAACAGAAGTCTATTTAAAAGGCATAAATATATAAGCAATCATTAAAACCATAATATGACTAACTTTTCTAAATAGTGACAAAAGTATAACTTATGAGTGAAACAATCATTTTATAAAATACAAGTTTTATAACATATAACAAAATATTAAGACAAACTTGAGATCAAATATATCAGTCAAATCAATAAATGTGAATGGGCTGAATTAACCACTTAAAAGGAAAAAAATATGCATTCAACTGACTAAGAATGACCTAACTATATGCCATATTTAAATTAAAATAGCGTTAAACAAAAGCAATGTTTTTTTAAGCAAAATAAAAAGGGAAGATTGACACAGTAGAATAGGCAAGTTAAAAAAAAAAGAAAGAAAGACAAATAAATTTTGACATTTTTAAAAAGCACTAAACAAAACA